GGCAGCGGGAGGGTTAACTCAGCCTCTGAGAAGACAAGCGCGCAGGGCCTTTCACGCACCGCCTTTCAAGCACCGCCTTCACTGTGTTTACCATCATCAGAAAGGCTAAAGAGCGGTGTGGCTGATGTGTTTTAACTTTTAACCACACACACCTCCACACACACACACACACACACACACACGATTTAAACGCAGACTTCTGTTCCTCCATGTTTCGTTGTTATTGTTTCACTGAGCGGACGCGCACATTTTTTTCAAACGCTCCCTTTTTTGGTCCATCTGCGGCGGTAATAGGTTTTGTGCGCTGTGATGATTCGGCTGTACCTTTAGTAATGAATATTAAATGTTGTGAGGAAATCTTTCCACCAATAATTCCTATAAGTAATCCAAAATGTATTCACTTCAGGTTTATGAAAGTAACTGTAATCAGATTACTCGTTTTTCAAATGTAACGCGAGCTGAATACAGTTACTTGATTTTTGTATTCTGATTACGTAACGCTGTTACATGTATTCCGTTACAACCCAACCCTGCGTATACATCACTTCAGGGGACATTATATTGACTTATATGCATTTCCTGGAGACTTATCCTCACCTGAATCATAACCAACACATGCCTAACCCTTAACCCTTACCCTTACCCTAAACCTAACCAAGTCTTCAACCTAAAATGAATGATTCCCCATGACCTCCATTTTGTCCCCATAAGGGAGGCGAGTCCCCACACGTGACTGTGTAAACAGATTTAGGTCCCCACAAGTATAGTAATGCTAGGCTGCACACACACGCACGCGCACACACACACACACACACACACACACACACACACACACACACACACACACACACACACACACACACACACACACACAGGATTACGTTAAATGCTGTGACACTGGCATGATTAGAGGCTCCACCATGTTGGAGCCTCGTCGTCTGCTGTGCAAATCGCAGCGTGAGTCAAAGATCATCACATGTGAACTGTGCACTAATGTGTAGGACAGAAGCCCGTTGTTTTTAATGACCACTCAAGGGTTTTAAAACTGTATGGCGAGACCATTGCAGTACCACAAAAAAGACAAATTGCCGGCTTGACCTTGTTCAGCGGAGGAGGAGGAGGAGGAGGAAGAGGAGGAGGAGGAGGAGGAGGGCATGATACAACGTAGTGACTCAGACCTGGTCGTGCGTCATATCCTAGATCTGAAATTGCTTTGCATTATGTAATCTATTTGTGGAAATTAGCCAGCTCCTTAAATGCTTCTCTTTAATGAGAACAGAGGAAGGTGTGTCATGGAGAGATTCATGCAGGATAAGACTAAAGAAGATATCTATACCGTAGGTTGGTTGCCCTTGCCTTTTATCATCCAATGACAAATGAAGGTGAGGCTGGAGTTAATCAGCGTAACACAATTGAGTTGTGAATACATTAAATGGTTATGGAAGTTAAAGGGAGCTGGAAACCTATAGTAAGTATAGGTAAGTTGTATTGTAAAAGCTTTGGGTAATGCCAGTGTATGTTCATTCCTTCTATGTTAGCCTTTGCAGACCATTTACACACACAGAAACGAACAACACACTACAGGAAAGGGACAACCCCATGAAGCATACTAAGGCCCCTTTAAGGTTATGTTTTATGATTCAAGCCATGTTGAGTTAATGCATGCTCTGATTAATAGAAGCTCCCTTTCAGTTAATGATGGATCACAGTTAGATTTTTCCACTTTATATGCTGTCATCATAAATCCATTAATCAACAAAAACCACAGTGTAAAGTAAAGTAACAGTGAAATTGTGCATTCCTCACATAGGAACTTGCTTATAGCCAAATGTAATGGTGGATTGTGTAAAGCACCTGTTGCTAACTGATATATGTATACGGACAAACAATTCCACTCGTAAAAGTATTTATAGGTAAAAGAACAACATGACCAAAAGCCATAAACCCCACCTATTTTTCGTAGGTGGATGACATATCGCCACACAAACAAACCTAAGCAATTGTCAAATAACTTTCCATACCTCTCATTGTCTTTTTCAGAACTTTAATTAAAGACCTTTATTTTCGGTCACTGACCATGTTGCTAGCTAGCTTAGCAATTAAATTAAAGCATTACATTGACAGTTAGTCAGTTAGTTGCCAGTGCTGTTGGACCGTTGTGCTTTTTTATATCCTGGAGGAAAGTGCAGTTGTTTGGGCTTGCACATTGGGTCAGGTTTGTGAAAAAAGGTGGGTGAGAAAAGAGTGTGAAAAATTGAAAAACATTACTTATTTTAGATTTCTCCCAGAAATGTCCCAGGACCGTCTTGCTGTGAGGGTAATTTAGCCACCCCAACTTAATATAGCACATGTATTCATCCTTCTTTTCCCGGTACATCATCCTGGTGTTGCTTACATAATACAAATGTCAATTATTTTTCCTTCATTGTACCGGGAAAAGAAGGATGAATACATGTGCTATATTAAGTTGGGGTGGNCTGAGTATGGCGACAGGACGCTCATCGTCGGCCTGACATCCATCGACGGCCAAAATCGGCTTGGTGTGTCCGGGGCTTTAGAGTCATCACGCAGGACATTAGCCACCTTTAGCTTAGCGGTGGTGACCATACTTGCCAACCTTGAGACCTCAGAAATGGGGAGCATTTCAAAAGGCTAAATTGGGCGTGGGGGGATGCAAGTGGATCGCCGGAGCTGTTAGATTAACATTAACATGCTTATTGTAGTTGCAAGTGCACTGCCTCACAGCCTGTAGCACCATCCTTGGATTTTTAGAGGAAAGGAGTGAGCAGAGAGTAGAGTAGTTGTCGAAATCTTGTTCTGTTTTCTGTGACTATCTGCCTCACCCTCTCAGACTTTGAGTTGCCCGCGCTACTAAAGAGACGTGTTACCATGGAAACCAAACAATGGTGTAGCTGTATTAAAGTCCGAGTGGAAACAGTCGTGTGTAAATCTGATTTTGTCAGAAATCGGGAGAAATGCGGGAGAAATATGACCCCGGGAGGAAACCGGGAGAGGGCAATGAAATCGGGAGTCTCCCGCGAAAATCGGGAGGGTTGACAAGTATGTTGGTGAAGTTATTTCACTATAATGTAGCTCTTTACTTTTGGCGGTTTAATTTACGCTGCACTGTAACTTTTATTCACATATTTTTTCTTTTAATGCTTATTTTATTATCTTTTCTTCTTTCTTTTTTTCATTTTTGTAAAGCACTTTCCTTGTGTTGAAAGGTGCTGTATAAATAAACTTGCCTTGCCTTGCCTTACACTACTAAAAGCAGCAGAGATCATCCTGCCTGACGTGTTATCATAAACGTGTCTTATTTTCTGCAAAGATCTAGTGGGCTTACAAATATTTGTCATAACTGCACCACTGTAGTGAACCAACTAGCAAGATCTGTAGCAGATTACTTCCCAAATCATTCCCATCAGAGACATCTGGCCTCTGCAGAGTGGAGTGGGCTTCAGCGTGCGCAGCTTCAGGGCAGACTTTATGATGCTGACTGTTGTAAACCTCTTTAGCCAGAGGGCAGGGGTGTGTGACAGAAATTGATCAAAGCATGATAATCTAATAGACGTTTTATTTTTTTGAGAGCTGCAATTGTATGATCTGGCAGATATCTCTGAGCCAATGTCAGTGCACTGAAGATACACATTTGGTGAATTAAAGAAATGTCAAGCCAGAGGACTCAGATGTATGAGAGACTGGTGGAGAGGGAGTAAGTGGATATTTGAAAGAGATATTTGTTCAAAGGAATAACAATAACTGTGACCAATGGCAGTCGTTTTGTGGTCTCTGAAACCTCGAAAAGGGATCTTATCGTCAGTGCAAATGGACATTGCACGCACAGAAACACACAATCTCTTTCCGCCTCGTCCTTCCTGAGAGGTCTGCTTCTTAAAATGACACATTGCATATTCAGCACACAGATACAGAAGAGCACGCTCGCCCATTTGAACGCACTTTAAAAGAAAATCTTGCAATGCAGTGGC